AGAGGATTATATAAATCAAAAGAGCACAATTGTGCTAAATTACAACCACAAGATGAAAAGCCAACCAACAGCTGAATAAAAAGGGAGGAAAGGTCAGGAGACCGCCTAGATCCGACTCTAGCAACGCTAGAAACCAAAATGACAGACTAAAAACTATAGAACTACATAAAGCTCCCAACAGGAGAATACAAGGATCCCAATAAGATAATACCCGCTCTCACTCGGGCGTCTACTGAGGCCAACGGCCCAAACCAAAAACACAAGACAAGAGGAACAAAACAAAAACACACCTAATAACAACCTAACGACAAACCTAAGCAACACAAACCAAAACAAATTAAAACAAAAGAAGGCCCTTCCCAAACAGCTACACCAAGAGAAAACCAGTGGAACCAAGTCGACCCAGTGAGCCCCGCAGCCAGAAGGACCAGCCCCGAAACTGCCAAAAGCCACTCGGTTGCCTAACGGAGCCAAAACCTCAGCCATGGAACAAACACAAACCAACTCACACCACGACCACGATACCCAAATTGCCACAGAACCGGCACTTGAACGAACCCTCTAACACCACTAGCGAGCTTCGACAATACCCGGCTCTCACCCCCGAAGCTCGCCGCAACAAGAACAGGGGAGAAAGGCAATAGAATGCCAAGGCCATAGCCACGACCCCCAAACCACCTGGACGCCACCCCAGGTCCTCTACCGCCGCATCACCATCCCGCCCAACACCACTAGTCGGAAAATGGGCACGCCAGTCCATCCTGGCCCAAAGCAGAGGATAGAGAGGGAAAACCCGAAAACGACGGCGTAACCCCGCCGGCCCGACAACCACGCCCTACCCCCAAACCCGCATCTCCGCCCCACCACCACACATCAGAGAGGCAATCGATCCGAGCTCATGAATCGGCACCGAGAAAGGCAAAAACCAACCATGAAATTGAAGGCCCACTCCATGGCCACTGGTGGAGAAAAGCACGGAGAGAGAGGGCGGGATCCAAGCAACCAAGGGTCGACTGCTGGCTCACGCTCGATCTGCCGCTAAGGAAGGCAGATCGTCTACAGATCTACGGCGGCGAGAAGGATTGGAAGGGGCGAGGGTTTTCAATTTTGCGGAAGTTTTACAATTATCTGACATAATTGTGCAAGTTTTATAATTATATAGTGACGCTTGCTAACACCATATGGTCTCACTCTTATAGGTACCCAAATTTGCTATCAAAAACAGAGAGAATTGGACCCTCCGATGTGAGATGTGTCATCTAAAATTGTACGCATGCATATAGGTATGTGTTGATTCGAATAAAATTCAGCATGTAGAGGAAAATTCATCAAAAAATGATTGATAATCTTTACCATGGTCTTGCTCTTATAGGTAGGGCTGACATTTTTTGACCGAAAACTGAAAATCAAACCGAACTGACGAAAAAAATAAATCGAACCGTATCAACTCATTTATTAACGGTAATCAATTATCGGTTACCGACTTGTTATTGTTTCCGTACCAATAAAGGTTCGATTTTACCGAACCGAATCATTAAGGATTAAGAAAAATAATACTTAATAGTTAATAACTTAATACTAAATTTCTGCATACTCTAGGCCTAGAAACTTGTGTTTGTTTGATGAATTAGCTGATTAAAGTTGATGAAATGTCAGTTTATAGATATGCATGACTTAGGTACAAAATCAAATACCATAAAGTTAATTTTATAATTTTAAAAATGATAAAAGAAGTACTAATAAGTTAGCCTCAATTTTTTTTTGAAAAAANCACTCATTAACCAAAGAAAAAAAAAAAAATCATGTTGGAACATGGTGGATGAATGTTGGGACTTAATCAAGTTGCATTATTATTGGTGAATTTTGATTTTTCGGTAAAAAACCGTTACCGACCTCAATTTTCGGTAACGGTTTCATATTATGTTGTCACCGAAATGATAGTTTAGTCTTATCGGTTTGGTAATCGTGTACCGATACCAACCCTACTTACCAGGAACTGAGGGACCACTTACCACTTACTAGGATCATATAGCTTTGTTTAAAAAGTTTTTCATTATTTTTAATAATTTATTTTGTATATATGTTTGATTTCATGTTTTATAATTAATCAAATTCATTGATTTATTTCTTTATTAAAAATCTAAACCTTTATCCATCCACTTGAAATATTCTTGCAAACTGAAGTCCGAGCATGTTTGTTTATAAAAATTTTTGGCTTTTTGGTTTGGTTTGGTTAACTTTAAAAAAGGTAGTATGGTTAGTTGTTAGTGGGTATATTAAAATAATATTTATAATAAAATAATTAAAATTGATTTAATGTAAAAGTAGGAGAGATAGATTTGAAGTGATGGTTAGTTAAATTAATGTGAGTGGATGAATAGTGAATTAAGGTTGATGTGGTGTGTATGAATGATTGATTGATATTATTTAATTATATTGATGATAGTGGGGTTGAGTTAAAGTTGTTTATGGAATTTTTCAAAAAAATTCCTACATTTTAACTCAACCACTTTTTTTAATTCAACTTTAACTCAACCCCACTATCATCAATATAATTAAATAATATCAATCAATCATTCATACACACCACATCAACCTTAATTCACTATTCATCCACTCACATTATTTTAAGTAACCATCACTTCAAATCTCTCTCTCCTACTTTTACATTAAATCAATTTTAATTATTTTATTATAAATATTATTTTAATATACCCACTAACACCTAACTATACCACCTTTTTCAAAATTAACCAAACCAAATCAAAAAATCTAAACAAAACCAAAAATTTCCATAGACAAACATGCTCTAAAATTTGACTTGAGGATGTGAGTCGATATGAATTTGATTTAGTTTAGATTGATTTTTTTTTGTTAACTATAGTTAATTTTAAAAAGTAATTGAGTTAGGAGTTAGGTTTGAGTGGGATTTTGAATTTGTTTTAGAATAATATTTAAAATAAAATAAAATGATTAAAGTTGATTTGATGTAAAAGTATGAGAAAAATAATGGGAAGTGATAGGTAGCTAAAACTATATAAGTGAATAAATAGTGAATTAAAGTTGATGTAATGTGTAAAAATAATTGATTAATATTATTTAATTATATTGATAATATTAAGGATAGTAATTTGAGTTAAAGTTGAGTTAAATATGAATTTTGATCGTTTTTTGTATTTTTTGTTAAGTTTATATCCAATCACACCCGAACAAGTTTAATCAACTTTCTATTTAAAGTTCATTCTTAATGGAATCTATATATATATAATTACTAGCTAATAGAATTTAATAAAACCTATTTAATTTTACTTATGTGGCAATTTAACAATTCTCCCTCCAAAAACCGTTACATTTTGATGTATTTAATCTTTCATTTGATCATTAAATAATTAATACTCATCACTTCAAAATTACAAAAATCATTTTAAACTTTTGATTAATGACAGTTGACCATATAATGTGTTGACCGTATAATGTGATTAGATGTTATTATTGTTGTTACATTTAATTTTTTTTTAAATAAAAAATATATTTGAAATTCCTAAATAAATAATAAATAATTCACTAATAAAAGACGTACCAAAATATACATTACATCCAATCAGATAAACGCAATTTTAAAAAAAATATTCCAACTCTTTTAATTGTAAATTTGGTCTGCAAAAAAGTGAAAGAAAAATAATTAATCATTATATGTACAGACTCACAATAATTTATTTATATCTGTGCAAATGCACAGGTCGAATACTAGTTTTGTAAATTGATCTCCAAAACTTTTAATCTTTTACTTCTCTAATATGTATTTACTGGAGAATCAATTTATTCATATATTCATTCTTAATTAAGCAGACAACATGAACTAATTATTTAAATGAACTCTTACATCCAAAATTCAATTTGAAAAGTGTTTGATTAATAAAGTAATACCCTAAAGCCTCGTTTACTTACCAGGATGGGACGAGATACCAGCCTTAATTAACTTTATCATGCGTTTACTATGCATGATTGGGACTAAGATTTAGCCCATGTGGCAGATGGGTCCCACGCGGAGATGCATATGTAGCTAGATAATTCAATCTCATCAAATAGATGGGATATTTTTATGTCACTAATGAAATGACCGTTTTGCCAAAAAGATAATAATATTATTTAATTTAAAATAATATTATCTAATTTAAAAAATATTGTTTCATTCAAATAATTTTATTTAATTTAAAATAATATTATTTAATATAAAATTATCAATTTAAATAATTTTAATTATTTTTTAAAAAAATATTTAATCTAAATATTTTTATTTAGTTTAAAATAATATTATTTAATTTAAAAAATATTAATTTAAATAATTTTATTGAATTTAAAAGATATTATTTAATTTAAATAATATTATTTAATTCAAAAAATATTAAATAATACTATTTAATTTAAAATAATTATTTTGTAAAAATTATTAATTTAAATAATTTTATTTTTTTGAAATAATATTAATAGATTAATTAATTTTTAATATAAAAATTGTCATAGTTTATTTATTTTGTATGTACAATATAGATGTCAAATCGAAGTCCATCATGGGATTATTAATTTGATATATAATATATAAAAACTTTATAATTAATTTAAAAATTATTAATCTTTAAAATATATTTATAATTTATTTTTAGGGTCAAAAATAGGGGGAAAAAATCTGATGTTTCGTGTGTAGGAGATTAGGTATATTTGTCTTGTACTATTTCTTATATCATTTTGTCCAGGTTAGTAAATGCTTAATTGTTTTTGCCTTAAAATACATCATGTTTTGTAAACATTGGATAAATGCTAACGTGTAAAGTGTATAGGATAAATCTGCCCAATCCCATCCCATATGAAGTAAAAGAGGTCTAACATTTGTAGCAGTGAAGAGTTGAAAGTTGAAACAGCATTAATGCATTAGCCTTGAATGAAAATGAAGAAAAATCATCACACAAGTTCTTGTGCATACAACATGGACTTATTAGCTCTCATCCATCAAACTCGGCGCTTATACTCAGAGTTGCATGCCTTCCTTAAATATTAAATTATTGGACTTCACAGAAGAACGACAAAAACAGAGAAATCAGTATAACATAATTCTGGGTCTTAAAATAGAGATGAGCATACAGAATGAGGGTAGAAGTCAACTTTTGCAACTCGATTCAATAATAAATATCTTTCTAAGCAGAATTATGTCATCAAATTCTAAATGTTATTCGCAAACAAGAAAGGAGTAAGTACTCCAGATAATAAAAGATTGCATCCAAAATCTGTAGGAACAAGAAAAATCATAACAATGGACAATGGCTTCAACCAACTCAAACCCTGAAACCTCTGCTGTTTCTCTTCCCTCTGGCCCTCTCAAACTTCCTTCCCTTAGCTCTCACATAGGGTTTGGTGTGGCTGTGTGGAACACCGGGAGCTGGGCCAAAATGCTTCACTGCTTCACGAGCCTTAGGCGAACCTCTCAAAAGAACCTGTAACAAAATGGGATCTTGTCACTGGTATTATATACTGTATTATCAAATTACTTTGAGACATGAAGTGCAAGATTGCAACCTAATATTCATCTAATTTTTATTTCAGAATGTGTTTCAAGTATATATAACACTATCTTACTTCTTGCTAGTAAAAGGGAAATTGATTTTGATTTCATGGTGCAAATACCAGTGAATGTTTTTGTTCAATCACTACCAGGAGAATAATTTTCAGTCATAAACCTTGACAAATTAAAACAAATACCATATAATCATAAACTTTTGCCGTAGATTTGCATTTACTGTAAGATGATTTAAGGAAAAAAAATGCAGTTCTATTGGATGTCTTGTGTGCACCAGAAACTCACAGTATGCAAATTTGAAGAATCCTTACCGTGTTCTGGCCAAGGGGTGCTTTAAGTGCAAGCTGGTCAAAGGTCAAACATTCACCACCTGCCTTTTCGATTCTGGCCCGAGCAGTTTCAGTGAACCTCAAAGCAGTAACCTTCAGTGCAGGGACTTCGTCCACTCGAATGTCATCAGTAACAGTCCCAACAAGGACTGCTATCTTGTCCTCCTACCATAGACAATAATTTTGAAAATCCCCGTAAATCAACACTATTCCCCGTGTAATTAGGCAAACTAAAATATCTAAATTAAATCACCCACAATCTGTCTTCATATGAAAATTGGGATGCATAAGTAGACCATTTCAATAAAATAAAACCGAACTCAATATACTTTACAGATAAACATGATTCTCAGAAGAAGCAATACTTTAGTAGTTTTACCTGCACCTTTTCTTAGAATAATCAGTGAATCACTCATTCTCCCACTATTATCAAGTTATTAATTCTCCAGCAAAATAAATGCAAGTACTCCCAATTTTTTCATCATGAACGGATTTCAATAACCATTTCATACAATACAATGAACACCACTTATTCAAAATAAACAATAACGAAGAAAATTCCAACAGATAAACTATTCACCTTGCCCTTCATGAGTGCTATGAGCTTGGAGAGAGACATGGGGGCTTTGTTAACCCTGCTCATGAACAACCGCTTCAGTATCACCGCATTGAACTTGCTTCCTGTCCTCCTCACCAGAAACCGATACAACTACAGAGCCAACCCAAATGTAAGAATCAGCATTCATAATAAAGCTCAGTTTTCCAAACCCCATTATCATCATCTACACAACGACGAGAAAAAATAAAAATCAGATCAGAAATAAATACCTTAACGAGGAGCTTGAGGTATATATCATTGGATTTTGGTGCAGTCCGCTTGGTCTTCTTGCTCTTACCTCCGGCGACCAAATCAATACCCTAAAAGACAAATAATCAAACGTACGAACAACAGGTGCTCATGCATTTCGTTCCAGAAGAGGTGATCTAACCAGCTTACCATGACTCCTGTGGCTTCTGCTTACGTCGCGCCTTGCTCGGAGAGGATAAATGGCGATGCGGAGCTGAAGTTAGGGTTTTTTTGTAGTGCTTGTGTTTTATATTTATTTGGAGATTAATTAATACGGGTATATGGGCATGGACCGCATGGTTTTGCCCACCCATGGTACCTGTATTCTATTACGCCCAAAACTCATATTATTGTAAGGCCTACAAAAGCCGTGTGGGTTCGGCTTAGAGCCCAAACCAACTATTAAAAACTATTTCTTTTTAGGCTAAAAGACATAAAAATATTTCTTTTTACTTTTTATTGTTTTTATTTATTCTGATTTTTTTAAGAAACTATGAGAAAATATAAATTATTAATTAAATTTTCTTTTTCTTCTAATCCATCTCACCACTTTTTAATATTATTAATATAATATAATTAAATACTACGAATAAATTTCATATTTTGCAATAAAATTCACTATCATTCACGGTGTGATTGGACATAAATTTAACCAAATAAAAAAAATAAATCAAAAATCACATTTAAATCAACTGTAATCCAAACCCACTGTTCTCGATCCTTTTATATATAATTCTCGAATGTGTGAGTTTAAGTGGTAGACTTGCATGCTTCAAGATCCTATGTAACAAATTTTCGTACTTTGTCATTTGGCTTTGGGCTTGAGGATTTTAATTTACTCTCAATCAAAAAATAATTATGTTTGGAATAACCATAAATATACTAGATATTTATGGTCCTTTTTTAGAACATTGATATTACATTTCTTATTATAGACGTGATTTATAAGGTATAATTTTTTTTATCAATCTTTCTTTTTTCCTCATTTTTATTTTAAAATTATGAAAAAATTACTAACTTAAATGTAGATTGAAAGTTAATAATTTTTTTGATTTATTATCCATTTTTAATATATCAAATTAACTGATGAGTTTTAATTTGACACCTATATTGTACATATAAAATAAATAAATAATTATATTTATTTTTATAATAAAAATTAGCTATCTATTAATATTAATTAAAAATAAATGAATTTAACTCAAAAGTTGTAAATGATATAATTTAAAAAATTGTTATAATATAAGATGGTAGTTGTATAAATAATGTGTGTTATTTTAAATATAAATAGTAATATAATTATTAAAAATAATATTTGAAATTAAATTATTATTATTATTTTTAACTTTTAATATAAATTTCAAACAACTCGTGTAATACATGAGTATTGTACTTGTAAGAAATGACTGAGAATTAATTCAAATATTATGATATTTCATGATTATTTTAACGTTTAATAGAAAAATCATTTTTTTAAATAATTGAGTAAATTACAATTTTAGTCATGTATGTTTCACTACCTTAACTTTTTCGTCCTCTTCGAATTGTGTTTTTTATTTTCGTCCCGTATGTTTGCAAAAAAGGTTACAAAAAGGTCATTTCATACATAAGGGACGAAATTGAAACTTTTTTTTGCAAAACATAAAGGATATTTTTATTGCGAAAATGACCTTTTTGTAACCTTTTTGCAAACATACGGGACGAAAATAAAAAACACAATTTGAAGAGGACGAAAAAGCTAAGGTAGTGAAACATACATGACTAAAATTCCATTTTACTCAAGACGAGGAGAACCTCCTCGAGAGGGGCTCTTCGAGACATCTACCAAGTCACCCTCTAAAAGCGCTTGGTCATATTCACCCCAGTCGACTCTTGAAACGGAGGCTTGGGAAGAGGAAGTTGACGACTCGGCAGCCAACTTGAACCCGACAACTTGCATTGAATTGGACGACTGATAACCCTCGTCGATTAGACGCTCAACCGTGTCAGAGGAAGAATCGAAGTTGAAAGCTAAAAAAGGAGAAAAGAAGAGAGAAAAGTCGAAATTAGTAAACCGTGAACTAACACACGGGACATAACGAACAAAGTCGACTTGCAAAAGTCGTCGATAGATAAATCGAAGAGATGAACACAACTCGGAGAAGAATAACTACCACCAGACAGTTGAAAGACACGGATAAGTCAAGACGACTCGACTTCTCCCAATCTCAAAAGAAAGAGAAGTCGCAAGCCACGGTATTCAATTAACTCGACAAGAAATGAGTCAACAAGTCGACAGGAGTCGACTCGAGAGGGGCAGTGAAATCAGACACGAACACCAAAGCCGACTCAGTGGGGAAAAAAAACACGTTGAGAACGCGAGGTTCAAAGAAGGAAGGACCGGCAAAAGTTGAAAAGTAAAAGGAATCGGTAAACTTACACATGATGGCGGTTGAAAAAGTCTGGGAAGGTCCGAAATTGCCATAAAGGAGAAACACCGGTGAAGCCAAAGGTGCGGAAGATCGCCGGAGAGTTCGAGAAGGTCTGAGATCAAAAGATTCGAGGAGGCGAAAAAGTGGTTTGTTAAGAAGTTGAAGTGTATTTATACATGAAAATGACGGATACTGATCGTCAGATCAATAAGAGATCTGACGGCCCTGATGGGGCGAAGAATTTGAAGAGGCGGCGGTTGAAGGGACGCGTGTCGCTTCAGGAGTTTGAAATTTGAAAAGACATCAGAGTGTCAGACTTATCTGGAAAGCAATCATGAGATATTACGATACAAATCCATAAGATGACGAGGCGAGTTACCAAAATGACGAGTAAAAGCGGATATCGCGATTTAAATCAAACGGGTATGGCACTCAACCACCAAATTTACTCTTAAGCTCAGAGTCGCTTAGAGTAATTTTTTTTGGGGGGGGGGGGGGGGGGGAGGAGGACTAGACGATATAGCCATATTATGATATATCGGTCTAAGAAATCCTCTACTCGACCGGGAGACCGCTCAGATCACCCACGCATCGACATGTTCCAGTCGACATACCTAAATCGACTTCGGTAATGTCGATTCTTTACAGAATAGCCACAAGGAAAGACAGGATCCATGCAAGTCGACTCCTAGAAGTCGACCTTATGCAGTCAACTCCCAAAAGTCGACTTCCACTTAAGAAGACCAACAAGAGAGTAACCTCCGAATATCCAAATAATCCTAAGTCGATCTCCCAGTACTCGAGGTCGACTCCTTGCACCTCGAGGTGCGAAACACACTGACGACTCAATGCCCTTGTGATATTCCTTGGAGTCTCTTATTCTCCAATGGATAAGAAGGAATCTTGTCATGACTCAGCAGTGAGGAGAGGCGAATCGACCAGGGCAATTTAGACCTTTCAGGTGAACTGACCAGGGCATTTTGGGGACTTCAAGTAAGTGTTTCCTCCTATATAAAGGAGGTGAGGTAACCCTAAACCCCAATTTCCATTCATTCTACACTCTATTCTATTGTTTCTGCTGCTCTCTCAGAGTAGCTCTTCTTCATTTCTTTCATATACTGACTTAAGCGTCGGAGGCTTTACGCCGGAAACACTTCCGGTGTTGAGTTCTTTAGGTGTTGTCGCAGTCTAGCAACGGTTCGAAGGCGATTCAAACAGATCTGAGTTCAAAACCGCCGGTTCACTCTAGATCTGAGAGTAGACCCATCACCATGACTCTTGTGGCTTCTGCTTACGCCGTGCCTTGCTCGGATAGGAGTAATGGCGATGGGGAGCTGAAACTAGGGTTTTTTGTAGTGATTGTGTTTTATATTTATTTGGAGATTAATATGGGGAAAATGGGCAGGGTTTTGCCCACCCCATGGTATAAGAACTTATGTTTTCTGTTAGGCCCAAAACTCATATATTATTGGAAGGAATACAAAACCCATGTGGGTTTAGAGCCCAACCGCTTGTGGGACTGGAAATGATTTTTATTTATTTGGATTTTTTAAGAAATTATGATTAAATAAATTATTAATTTAAATTTTACTATTCATTTAATCCACCTCAACTCTTTTTAATATTATTAAGGCCTCGTTTACTTGCCTTGATAGGATAGGATAAAGTTGGTTAACCAACCTTATCATATGTTTACAAGGTTGGTTAGACGTTAGGATTTTTATGATGTGTTCATTGTGTGGCATGTGAGTCCCGCGTCAGTAGAATGATGTGGCTGGTTAATTTTGTCCGGCCTTTTAGCCGTGACAAAATAATCCCAATTTTGATTTTTTCATTTTGCCCCTCTCTCCGCCTCCAATTTACCAATCTCCGCCTCTGAGTCTGTATGATTCGGCCAGAAATTTTCCCCCTTCGATTTTTTCTTTCTTTCTTTTTTTTTTGTTTGTCTATTTTAAGGTTAGATATACTGTTATTACAGATTACCCGTTGGAAAAAAATCCATTCTTTAATTCTTTTGATTTTGTTCATACCTTTTGATATTTTGTTTTCTTTTTCCGCTCCCGTTAATGGAGCCTGGTGGTGGAAAGCTGAGCTTTCTGCGGAATATCCTTGTGCGCCTCTTCCTCTTCTGCATGTTGATAATCGCCCTCTGATTCGCATACGTTGTCACGCTGCGTGGGTCAGTTGGCGAAACCCTCCTCGGCGACGGTCGTATCCTCGTCCGGCAACTCCGCCCCGACCGCGCCAAAGAAGATCCCCAACCACCCAACATAATTTTTTATCAGGTATAGTAAATAGACGATTGAGTTTAGTAAATATGTGACAAAATATGACGTGGCAAATTGGAGGGATTAATTTATCTATTCCCATCACTTCTAGTAAAAGAGGCTTAAATAATATCAACAAATTGCATATTTTGCAATAAATTTCACTACCATTCATTTTAACATTTTAACTACTAGTATGAGAAATGATTGGGAATTAATTCAAATATTATGATATTTCTTAATTATTTTTACGTTTAATAGAANTTAAATAATTATTTTATTTGGTTTGAAAGTGATTTTATTTTTTTGGATGGATGAGATAAGTTAAATATTTTATCCCAACCCAAGTTACCAGTACCGCCGAACAACCAGGAGGAGGTACCAGCACCGGCGCTGCGCCCACAAGTTGGATTTTGCTGTTACTGATTTTTAAGAGGGTAGGATTCCAACGTCACAAATGTTGGGGCTGAGTACTTACTAATAAGTAGCGTCAAACTTCAGTATTTTGTACCGCAATCATTAGTCAACCACCGTGAAACGGAGGGATGCCCGGGAAAACATCGTTGCGGGTTGGACCCGATGGAGTTGCCGTCGTCACCATCAACAACCCACCTCTCAATCTGCTCTCCGTTGACGGTATCTTTTACTCTGATCTACCATTTCATCGGCGTGGAAAAAAAATGCTATTAGTTTTCTTACATAAAAATCAACATAAAATGATTTGTAATTTGTGTTGATTTTAAAGTTGATGTGCACGATTATGCCATGTTCTTGCAAAAAAAGTCGAATCGTTAATGTTTATCACTGTCCTGCTTTGCCTAAGGATTACTTACCATTTGGTGACAACTGATGTTTTGTTCCAGCTAGTTATATGAACTTGAAAATTTCAAGAATTCGAGATTAGGAGGTGTGGAAATGATGATGCCGGTTTTGTTTAAGGCCCTCTGTACCATCTGTGGGGGAAGGCTTGTTTGATGCAAATTTAACATATATAGGACAGCAAACACAAAGCCTTTGCATTCTATTAATTTGTGTCCTGTCTTGCTTTCTGGTTGTTTGAAGGGATTTTTCTCCTGATTTGCTGATCGGTCATTCTTCTTTGTTTTGGTTTGAGACTTGAAATGATTGAATTAGAATTAAATATGTTTTTGCTTTATAGGTCAATTGTAAGAACTCGTATACAGTGGCATTCTATAGTTTAGGTGGGTGTGGCTTAGTATACAAAGGTTTAAGTCGCTCACATTCATGGAAAAATGAACAACTATTTTGTTATTCCTTATTCGCTGTGGTTGTGAAAGTGTGAATACCAATTCTATGTCAGATGGTTTATGGGGCTCTTTACACCGGGAATACTAGAGACGGTGTTCACAAACCATACGGCCTATGTATCAATGCACATGGATTAGCTGTGTGGGAAAGATCTTGGAAAATTAGGACTTCTATTAAGCCTAAAATTATGTTTTTCTTTTTTCTTTCTGTTGTCTACATGTTCTGCAACTATTGCAACATGTTTGTTATCTCCTACTCCTAGTGATGCTTAGCTTGAAGGAGAATATTGAGGGGGCTCTATTGAGAGATGACACGAAAGCGATTGTAATTACCGGTAAGATTGCGATTTATCTAGCTAGTTGCTACGGATTATGGATTATTGGTTTTTAAAATCTAATAAGCTCCACCTGACCAAACAGGTGTGAAGGGCAAGTTTTCTGCTGGATTTGATGTGACATCATTTGGTGGTAGTCGAGAGAAAAAGGGTAAGATTGATTGCATGAATTGTTTTCTGAACATGTGCCTCATCAGCATTTACATTGTTCTAAGTGGTATAAGGCTGTAACAGAGAAAAAAGAGCTGGGGTTTATGTCAATTCATATTGTGACCAATACTTTGGAAGGTATTACTTCTTAACAGTTACTGCTGATTATGTAGGTGTGTTTGTTTCCCTTTATCACCATTGGTTTTTGGATTTGTAGCTGCGAGAAAGCCTGTTGTAGCTGCTATTGAAGGCCCTGCTTTCGGTGGTGGACTGGAAATTGCACTTGTATGTTCTGTGATGCATTTCAATTGCTTCTCTCCCTTTTCATGGGTTCTTGTTCTCTACATGGTTTACATCTAAATTATTACAACAACCCATAATCCATGATTTTTTTGGTCTTACACTATCTGCCTGATTCATGAGTTAATCACATCATTAGTTTAAGAGGAAAAACTAATTTATCAACTTAAAGAAAAGTGAAGTTTCAGACGTAGAACAATCAATATTTTGTAAGTGGGAGTGTTGACTGGTTTAGGTTTAGATGGTTTTAAGATGATAATGACAGTGATAGTTGAGTGCTGGAGTCCTAAAGGTACAAAAGACATAAGTGAATATCAAGTAGATCTGTGTGTGTTTGTTTTTCTTTTTCATCCTTTTCATTCAATGTATTTATTCAACAGTAAGCTAGAGTTACATTATAAATCAAAAAATATGAGGAGTGCTTTGAGGCTGTGTATGATTCCAAGGAGAAAAACTTGGTCAGCTTTGATAATATTTTGTCATTTCACAGGCATGTCACGCTCGCATAGCGACTCCCTCTGCACAATTAGGCCTTACAGAGCTTCAGTATGGGATTCTCCCTGGTTTTGGAGGTACAACAGGCTTTTGATGCATAGTATGCTTGTACTTTGTAATCCAACTCTTGAAGTAATTAATTATGGGAATGTGATTTTCTGCAGGTACACAAAGACTTCCAAGACTTGTGGGCCTCAGGAAAGCTCTCGAAATGATTCTGGTGTGCATTGTGTTTCGGTTTTTAAGTTCTCATTTTCTTTCCCCTAAATATCGTAAAATCTTCCTTTTTATGCTGTCAGATGTCAAAACGAGTAGATGGTAAGGAGGCTCGAAATATGTCCCTCGTGGATGCCTTAGCTCCTGCAGATGAGCTTCTTGGAGTAGCTTGTCAATGGGCTCTGGATATGTTTGAGTGTAGAAAACCATGGGTGATTAGTCTTTACAGAACCGACAAATTAGAACCCATGAGAGAAGCTAGAGCAATACTTAAGTCATTCCGCATGCAAGTCCAGAAAGACAATCCAAATGTTGTGCACCCTTTAGTATGTATCGATGTCATTGAACAAGGAATAATTTGTGGCCCTCATAATGCCCTATGGAAGGTGATTT